TCTCGTGAAAATCTACTTTCGTAATGTTTCTCACATTTAATTCAAAAATGCGTGTTGATTAATGAAAATTTTGAATCATTTAGTGGTGTAATGAGGTTTTCAAAGTAGGCGATAGCGGTAGCGATAGCGCTCCGCTATCGATTCGGTGGGTAATAGCGATAGCGTTAGCGGACTAGCGGAAGTCTTTTCGATAGCGGAATAGCGATAGCGCGCTATCGTTCTTCGATAGCGCGCCCAACACTGATTTTAGTGACTAAACTAAATTCTGAATAGTGAGGATGGGTTCTTGTGAATGTTATTGCGACTGCTGAGAGTAAGCATAAGATCGATTCTGACAATTAAACAGCGATATAATAGAAGAAACCAAAAAAGAAGAACAAATACTGTCGTGAAGCAGTGTTGTAGTCTTTGGGGTTATATATCGGTGATACAAACAGTAAATTATTTTCACGAGAGCATAAAAATTCCCATTGCGAAGCAGACATGCACTTTGATTCGACCAATTAATTATAAATGAACGAAACAAAGAATCACCTGCATTGGAATTTCGCCGGAGGCTTATCTCTTAATCCCCTCTGTGCAGCCGTATTTCTTAAATCTTCAGAACCAAAAAAATCTTCAAAAAATTTGAAGAATTGAGTGCTGTTGAACGAAGTACCGTAAGTGCAGTACTACTTAAGAAATGTTCTCTTGTTGAGCGATAGATTCAAGCCAGATTCTGTTCAGATGAATGGCGATAGAAAGGGGTAAGCACAGTTTTGTGTTTTGAAAGCCATACACGTTTAGTTTTAGTATATAGCAATATTAATGAATATTCTATCGTTGCATATGATGTTCAAAGAAGAAGCAGTAGATGAAGTGTGTTACAATGGTAACAATGAAAATTGCAACAAAATTGATGATTCGTAAACGATCGTCGGTTATCAATCGCTCGTTATAAAAGAACACAAGCACCAACACACCAGATGTAGCTAAACGAAACTGCAAAGATTCAGTCCAAGCTTAAAGCCGAGTCAGAGGTAATACCGAATTCGCGACTTGAATGAACTTACAGTAGCGTTTTAAAGAATTCATTGAGTGAGTGATGAAAAACTGCAATGTTACTTGTGATGACCATACAATTGAATAAATTTGCGATAGAGGGAAGAAAAAAGCATATTGATAATGTTGAAATGATTAACAATAAAATCGTAATTGTGAAGTAATTGAATAATTGCAATAGTAAACACGAAGAAATTGAAAGGGATGTGCTCGAAAACGTATAGTCGCATACAAACACAATGGAAAGTGCTCGCGATTGATGTTAGATTAATGACAAAGTGTTTCAGTACCGAGCTGGATGCCTTATTGTTGAACTGAAAACATATTGCCTCATTTAATAGGCCTTATTATTGGGAAAATTATTGTAATTTGAAACTCCTCGCTCAGATGTAATTAACTTCATTCACTTGTCCCCTGCGATAGATATTCTTCTAATTTGCACAATTTGTGTTACAAGATTTGTGCTTGACAATTCATCAGTTTAACCAAATCTTTAGCCTTTACCAGCTAAAAGTTCGTCTGAACGTATTCAAATATGAGATGATTCCAGTCTTCAATTAACAATTCAAGTCTCTCGAATTTGCAGCAAGATCTTTTATGTGTACATTACCGCAATGAGCCTGCATCAATCCAACATTCATATTTCAATATGCATCGAAAATTTGATCAGAAGAGATCAGTTACATCTTCTTGATTCTCAGTGAAAATGGATCAGAAAAGAACAACTAACGGTGTTTTGAGTTGACCATATGAACGTGGTGGATTCGAAGATGCCAAACGTGATGCAGATATGCTCCGCCTGAAATCTGTCCTTTTGAGAGGGAATAAAATTAGATGAGATTCTAAGGAGATTTGAAGATATCTTCCGAAGCCAGTATGATCATCGTGACATGGCAATGCGTAGTTTGTAACTGAACTTCGGCAAAATTTCACATCATATCCTTATGCATATGGTTATACGTTCAAATTTTATCAATATTCCCTAACCAATAAGGTTAATCACTGTCTTGTACAAGCCTATTGGCTGTGTTCAGCTCTAATAATGAACCATTTAAATTCTCGAGTGAGCGTTACTTTTCCCCGTTGAAAATGGATGATTCAATATAATAAATATTAATAACAATGAATTAATTCCTCATTAACAAGCTGCAGAAAGATTCATCAATCAGAAGTTGAAACTATACTGATTATGTGCTGTGAATGAGGACTGATGTAAGAGATTATAAAAAGTCTAAATATAAATGCTCATAATACTGACTAAAATAAGGTTGTGAATGATATTACATTGAGCACTGGAAACATAGGAAGAACAAATAATTTATCGATGATTTGCAGGAAAAAGAATAATTCTGATTGTGAGGAGAAAACCAATCCTGAGCAATTACATGGAGAGTGCAAAAAGGAAATGCATTGAGAACAATTTCATGTGCAATTTACTTGATATCAGTTCTATTATTAGACCCATTCCACTCACGAAAGAGCAATTCAAAATCATTGTAATGGGCATTGAACAGCAAGATTGTATCGTAATCAGAAGGGTACTTTTTTAGGGTGATTATTAGTGGAATGTGCATGAACTGACAATTTAATAAAAAATTTGCTACAATTTGAAATTCATGTAATGATGTTAATTGGAATTTTTTCAATGAGGGCAAAGGCCTAATTAACAGTCTTCATAGAATGAGCTAGCATTGTATTTCAGCAAACGAGGTGTGAAAGATGAAACTCTTAGCAATGGCAGCGATAAAATTGTAAGAGGGTAGTTTGTTACATGAATTTCATGTTGTAACAAATTTTTCGATAAATTGCCAATTCATGCACATTCCACTAATAGCATTCCATTTGCAAGTAAACTGTATGTGTAAAGTTTTGAAGATGTCACCAACTTGACTGGTGTAGGTAAATTGCTTCGATACGCAAGATTGGCACTATTTGTTGCGAGTCGTGAAGGTGACTGCCTCGAGACATTGTTCGATGTTGGTTGACGATCTGCGGATGCACGTCGGGGTGGTGGCATTCGCTGTGATAAACGGGATCGAGATGACGTTTCGTTACGTTGTGTTATCGTTGAATCACGTGTTGATGGAGGCATTTGCCAGTTCCGATCGGATCTTGCCTTGAAAATTGCTCGTTCATATCACTCGCCTTTTGTAAATCAATTCGAAAAATCATGGGCAATTCGATGCTTAAGCCAAGAAATCGAAAAACTAATGCCTCTCCAGATATGATTTTTTATTGTACCGATAACTTCAGCANTGCTGTTTGGCCATCATATTTTTAGCATTTGGATGAATTGACTGTGGCATCATTTTCATTGGACCCATTTTGCGTTCATACTGCTCGCGACAGAACGGAATGTGTCTTTCAGCTGCATTCACGTTGAAATTTCTACCGCAATACTCACACTTCACATAATCTGAAGATCAATTCAGTGGTTTCATCGCAGAATACTTCCGGAATTTCAGGATATTTCCGAAGTGATACTTCAAGAAGCCGTTGTAGTTGTTCAAGTTGCTTTTAACGGAAGAGTGATGCGGAGGAAACAGCGCGATAGGTCAAAAATGTATATCAGAAAGATAGTATAAATCAAATGCTGCTCGAGAAAGATAAACAGAACATTGCAATATTTTACTTTTATGACGTAATATTTCATTGCTGCGATGTGTTCCAGAATATGTGAATGTTGATGTCAAGTAAGCAAACAGCATCACTGATGTTGTTTATCAATGTGTGATATTAATATACATGTGAAGCTTTCAATACTCAGTGTTTCATCCTATTCGATGACCGACTTTTATAGGTGATAAAAATAGCGATAAAAGTATTTTAGCGATTTCGCAAAGTTTACTCCTTGCTGAGCCGCACAATATTTTATATCAGGCGATTCTCATTTATTGAATTAACGCGAATAAATCAATACAGACAATAGGTGACATTAAATCTTGAATATTCACAGCTTATCACGTCAAGTTTCTGCTATGTAATGGGCGGTAGACTATATTAATTTATTATGTAAAGCATTAAATCAGTGTCTTGAAGAAACTGTTATCCAGCTCAAATCGTGACAATCATTAATTTTGTTTGACAATCATTTTTATTTTGTTTTCAACTGTTTCGTATTCCCATAATATCACATATAATTTAAAAACCTTGAAGATGCCAATCATTCTGATCATCATAAGTTTTATGAGAGAAAAATTTCATATTTCGATTAAGGTTTTCAATTTGTAACAATTAAGGTTTTCAATTAAGGATTCGATTAAGATTTTCAGAATGAAAAATTTTATATTTCGATTAAATTGGCTCAGAAATGTTTTTTGTAAACATTCAATGGGAGCTGCTTTTTTGAAACAACGAAAATGTGAATTCATCTAACGTTTTAGTAACTAAGCATCTCTGTGCTACCAGTAAATGTTTATCACTGAATCAGCTGTTGCGTGCAGACCCATTAATTGTCATACATTTATCTATTCTGTGATGAAGAATTGATGTGATTGCGGATATAAAATTTAGGTAAGCCATAGAATAAATTATGAGGAAAGCAACCAAGAGGAATAAGATGAATAAATACGAAAATGCATATACCAGAGGTTCAAAAAGAGGAAGGAACTCCCTACTCAACTCTTTACCGCATATCAATTCTTTTGCAATAAGATACAAACGGTCCGTTATTTGTTATAAGGATGCATTGAAAGTAAAATCTTCGAGTTATAAATACTTGCCTGGGAACCTCTGGTTCATAGATATGACCACCGAAAGAGCAAAAAGCGATAGGAAAAGAGAAGATGAGCACATAACTCTCTACTTTTCAAGAGGAGCACTACTCTAGTCCAAGAAACACCCCAAAAAAGACCGTTAGGAATAAACGATTCCGGATTATAATCGTTTGAAACTTGTCCCTTGAAGATGTTGTCGCTGTTCGCAATACCATCAGTAGCTGAATGTTTCCGCACTAAAGCTTCCAAATCATCTGCGGAAATTACTGAAACGTTCGGTTTTTTCTCGTTCAGTACTGATTTTTACTGCCTTATTTGGAAAAGTATGCATTCATTTGGTGAACCTTTCACGAATTATTTTACGATGGCACTGAAATACGATAACAAGGTTTTCTTGCGCTGAAGGAGGTTGGAGGTTGGTAGTAGGTTATAGTAGGAGGTTGCGCTGAACGCATAGGATCAATTGTTACTAAACATATCGCATGAATTCGTTTCGGAAATTTCAGTTCAGAGTATAATCCGGATTTTTTTTCGCATGATGTGTGGTAATGGCATTTAGGCATTGAATCTGACTGATATAGTATTTAAGAACTTTGATTATCCAATAAAAGTGCACGAGTATTCGACCTTTGCTTTAGGCCATATGACGTAACAAAATACCATTTTCAAGAAGGCTGATGTGAGTGCGGAGTAATACGCAGAATCGTGCGATTAATTCAATAAAAACAATTTGATGTTCTAGTTTTTAAGCATTTATCAATTTCATATCGTTAATCATTTCAATGAATACGTGCGTTTCATGTTATTTTTTCCTTACAATGTTATTTCCTTTAATGGAATTTTCCTTTAATATTATTTTCAATGTTTCCTCGCTGGATTTGCCTAGAAAGTTTGAAAAAGGCGCTGATTGATAAGTGAATATGCGATAAGCAGCCATCATCATGAAATCTATGACAAGCTTACTCAAGTTGGAACAAGCGGTATTTTGCTTAATTCCAATGATTGCTCCAAGAATGCATTCGTGAAACTGAATAAGCATTCTGCAGAATATCTATTTAGGGAGGAATAATGATAAGAGTTTCACCGACAATGAGAAGAATTAATAAGTTAAGAGATGACTGACCCTTTGGTACTGAAGTTTTTGGAGGCGGTGGTAAAGGTGTTCCGGTTTTCAGCGCGTAATCAACTTGTCTTGACGCAGATACAGCGTTCACGAATGTTTCATGTTTTTCTCGCCAACTCGTTTTCGGTCGAGGATACGTGCCACCAACCTGGATTTTTCACAGAATTTTTCCTCGAATGTCTTGGAAGCCAACTGGTATATAGTCGTAAAGTGAAGCGAAATGTTTGGATATTTATGTCAGGCGTATATAATCTGTCGTTTCCAAAATTTATGATCTACGGTAGGGTCACATCTGTATCATCAATATCTGTCATGTTTAAAATCTAGTTTTGTGATCAATAGCAGAGTCAAATGTCGTCGGTTCGAAGTATTCGACAGCACAACGAATGACGGAAACAACTAAATTTCATGCTTTCAGAACGCATGATCGTTTCAAAAAAATTAACAACCGACTGCAACCTTCTGACGATCACGCTCTGCATTTCGAACGTCATTGATTGTTATATCTGAACCGGTAGCACGTTGTTTACCTGAATCGAATGTCTTACGTTTCGCTTTGCTCATCTTCATACAGACCGGTTCGTGTTTTTCCTGTAATTGTAAAACCGTGCTGTTCGTTTCAGTAAAGGAATCCGTAGAAGTTTTGTATCAGTGAATTCAAAACAATAATGATAAAGATGAATGAGGTTTCCCTAATCATCATGCTGAAAAGTATTCGTAGAAAATACTTTATATACGTCATTTGTCATGCATTTGTTCCATTCAGCGGAATCATTTCAAAGAAATAAACGAAGAACGTTTACAAAATATTGTAAACAAGATCATTTTGAAATAAAATATTATTTACGGAAAATTTTTTTACATGAAAATTGCAAAGGGAGATTATACATCTACAGCAGTAAAGGATGTAACCTTATGACGAAAAGTGAAGTAGAAACTTAAGCGAATCTAATGGATTCAAATACTTTTACAAATGAATAGTTGAATGTTATTTGACTACAAATACGAATTTTCGTTTTCGATCTTCATTCAGAGTTAACTACTCATACTTTTCGGTACGTTTAATCGTAGTCAGACTATCAGTAAATTTATCTAGACCTCCATTTCAAATCTTGAGAAATTGATTACGATTGTTTTAATTTGGATTTTCGCTTAACAAGCCATCAGATTAGGCAGGTGATTCAATGCCTTTATTGATAAGTTAAGATGTATGTGGTGAAGAGATTGGCTCACCAGACTCGATCTGACGAAATGACGACCACATATTTGGCATGGATAAGTTTGTTCACCCTCATTCGGCAAAGACGCTGAAAATTTTATTCGATGAACTGATTTTATAAATCGATGAGTTGAAAGCATTGAAATATTTGAATGCAACAATTCAATAAAAACAGTGATAATGAGCTATACTGAATTGAATACATTCCGGAAACTGTTTGTTTGCAGGAGTCAATTCAACGAAACAAACACTAATTGCTTATATCTAATAAGTACATATGAAAATATTTTATCTCTCGTTGAGCATTATATTATGAAATCGCCTTACCCATCTTTTAATCATGAATGAACCTCCTAAATCCGGGTGCAAAATCCGGGTTTGATCGCAGCAAGGCTACCAGTGAATGACGACTAATCTGCTCGGTAGCCAGCGAGCTTGATCAGCGCCCAAAAACGAATGAGACTTAGTTGCTGAATAAAAGCTGTCTGCGTTGGCTAGAACTTTAAGGATTGAGTGTCTGTCACTGAGGTGAACAGAGCGTTTCTAGCATTATTATTCAGCAATTGCCGACTGGGTTTGTTGCGGTTACTAAGATGATTACTGCGATTAGCGTGCATGTTAATGGATTTGTGCAAATGCATTTAAACGCAGGGGATATGTGCATTTGAAGGTTTCATTTGAAGGTTTCGTTCAGTTCTCGTTGCTATGCAGTTATTCTTTCAATGTCTACTGTTTTCCAATAACACTCACTCTGAAACAAATGATACAACAGAAACTGTGGACATAATGTGCTGTTTCTTATATATTTTCTTCGTGTTTACCATTTCTATTACCATGGGAAAATTGATTAAATCCCTTTCTGTAACCACGAAGTATCTTTATCCCATGGATTTTGTTCCCAACGTTTAATAACAATTGATTCGTTAATATAAGCCGGAAAAATTGTTTGAATCTTTAATTGTTCTTGATATGATAATAACAGTTAATTGAATTCAAAACATCGACGTTTATTGAGAGATTAATATAAAACAGCAGAAGCAAATACAAACTCAAAGCGCCTATATGATCACAATTAAATTCATGAACAACTGAATAAATTTGTGAAAATTTCACTAAAAATTCCAAGATTGTGATGCTTTAGCATAGAATCATGATCGCCATCAACTAGATATACATCCACTGATTTAGTTGAGTACAAGTGCCATCCGTTAGTCCACATTGACAAGAACTGTTTGGAGTTATTGCCGCTGAAATAAACAATTCAAAGAAATGACCAGCAAAATCAATCGCTCATATCTTGATACGTTGAATTATTTTGATTTCACTGAATGATGCGATAATAATCATTTCGTTTGCAACAACGACAAAGCACTGACAAGAGAAAATCGTCACAAGTATAACCGAAAACATAGAGTGAATAATTTTTGCGATTCAAGTTTTTCTTCCGGAACAGATTAATCGGCTACGATTCAACATTCAACACTGTCATCGATAAGCGTATAGCATAATTCATTTGAACTACTCCTTCGTCACTTTCAAGGAAAAAATTTTGATATAACATCATCAGTTACTCACCTTATTGTACGTCTTGATGCTGAGTTCTCAAGTTTCTTGGCTTTGAAAAGGTGAATTTTTATGTCACTCGATTCGAACCGATGATTCTGAAGCATTTTCGCTAGCTTCATGGCTCGTTCCATGAAAACGTTCTTGTTTGGTAATAGGGAAAGTTGTTCCTGGAAAATAAAGATCCTTTACAAAATTTGGCACTTTATTTTTCAAACAAGTGTTGAGGTAAAATTCAAAAGCGGTTTTTTCGGAACTTATACACGTGGCAAAATTTTGTTATTTGGTTATTTTTGGTAACACATAACAAGGTCAATGACGAACATTCACATGAAGAAGTAATGATACCTCAAGGTATTCCCTAACAGCATTAAGTTCCAGTTTCTCGGTACCAATGCACCATGAATCGAGCATCACAACAAAAGACGGTGAATACTGGATTGATTTTGATTGCATTATTTTAGCCATCTCTCTCGCTAGACATCCACCCAATGAGTGTCCCATCAACCATATTGAAGCATTCTTTCGATGCTTGATTACCTCAAAATATAACAATTGAAGCAACTATTCACCAAGCAATGCTTTCAACTTCTAAACTGAAAATAAATTTATTCAAGTAGAAAAATAATAAAAAATAAACGAATCAGTAACCTGATCGACGTAGAACTGAGCCAGCTCGAGCAACGTTTTCGGTTCATAATCAACATCGTATTGGATAGCATAAACACTGAATTCTTTGGGTATTGAAGGCAGCAATGCGTAATATGGGAATATTGATCCCGCGACAGCATGAATCAAGTACAAGTTTTTATTCGAATCGGATGCGACATTCCTCATCGTGATTATTGATGCACTCATTGAAGAGTGATCTTTGTTGATTGTCATTGTATTATCAATAAATTCAGATAAAGATTCAATTGTCGGGTACTTGAATATATCAGTTGGTTTCAGTGAGATTGCGAATGATTGCTGAATACGATTACACACACTTAATGTAACTAAAGAATGACCACCACAAACGAAAAAATTATCCGATAAGGACAAATCCGGTTTATGCAAGACTTCTCTCCAAATTTGGGCAATCATCAATTCTGTTTTTGTCATTTGTCCACAATTCGTGATCATCTGCCCCGATAAGTCGTTAGATATTTGCCTTGTCTCCCGGACACTTCTCTGTTCTTTCAAATACTTAAGTAGCTGTTTTCGGTCAACTTTACCACTCAGATTCAGTGGCATTTTGCCGATTGTAATGAAGATATCAGGAACCATATAGGAAGGCAATCTGCCTAGTAAGGATTTCTTCAAATCGTTCATATTAAGTTTTTCCATTGTCGCAATGAAAGCTATCAAAGAATTGTTATCCTTTTCACTGATCGCAGTTATGCTCGCATTTTTCAATCGATCATCGGAACACTTAATCGCATTTTCGATCTGAATTGCTTCAACTCGAAATCCACGAATCTTCATCTGTGAATCCAATCGTCCCAAATAAACATATTTCGAACCCTTCTTCTTAATCCTATCACCTGTTCGATAGAGGATTTGATTCCTGTTGAGTACTCTGTCTTCGCGACTTCGATGCAAATTCTCACAAAAATTATCCGATGGCTTGCTCAGATATCCTCTTCCAACACTGTCACCAGTAATCGCCAATTCAGCCACCTTATCTCTACTCAGCTGATTGCCATATCGATCAGTCGGCACCACAAATTGATTTCCCATTGCTGTGCCTATTACGCGATTTGATTCGAAACCTTCATTGAGTGTACATCGATTCGTTAGTGACCATACTGTTGTTTCGGTTGGACCATAGATTTGTCGAATGTAAACGCCTCTTCTGAGGCACTCTTCCAAAATTTCTCGGCTTGGTGTTTCACCACCAATGAACAGTCTCTCTACAACTCCAGCCATTTTCGTTAGTTCCTGATCGGTTTCGATTTGACTGAAGAGCGCAGATGATAAGAATGCGAAATTGATATCTTTTTCAACTATTTCCGAAGCAGCATTCAATCGATTCTTGCAGCTGATTAATGTAGAAGCATTCGTTAAACTAGTGAATAGGTTTGCACAACTGATATCAAATACCGTATTCACTGAATTATATACTCGTAATCCAAGATGTGCCCCTATTTGTAAGGTGGCGAATCGCAAGAAATGCACTAGATTGTGATGTGCAATACAGACACCTTTTGGTGGACCCGTGGATCCACTTGTATATATCACGTAAGCCAATGATTCTGATGTAGAGCGAACTTTATGGCTGAATTTCGAAGGTGATATGTGATTAATGCTGTCTGGATCAAGGAGTGGATAATTTCTGTTGAAACGCATCTTATTCGAAGCTATAACACATGATGGCTTCAATCTATCTAAAATGTTTTCGTTCCATTCCAGCGGATTTTGTGGATCAAGAGGAGCATATGCAGCTCCGACCAACAAAACTGCTACAATGGGTAGCAAAGCGTGTTGTGATTGCACGCAAATTGGAACAATCGCATCTGAACGTAACGGTTCACAGCATTCCCTCAAATAGGTTTGTTGAATAGCACATGCAAGACATATTGCTTTCTCAAGAAGCGTTTCATATGTTTCCATCGCATGTCCGTCTTCCATAGCTATAGCTGAACCGGCGATGCGTGATTGTTGCATAATGATGTCTGATACGGTTCGATTAAATGGCACATCGTGATAAGGCAAAGTTGAGCAAAGTTTTTGTGAGATGCCGTTCAACTCGTCGCCAGACGCATATTGATCGACATGATGATCGTATAAGTTATAAGATGGAATAGGAACTTTGCATAGATTCGAAACGTTTCCATACAGTTCGGACATCCATCGTACATACTGATTCCCAAAGTCCTTAATCGTATCCAAGTAGTATTTTTCGGAGTTGTAGTCAAACATTACATTCAAACCTGCTGGCGTCTCATCGATTGTACAGGAAAAATCGAACACTGTGTTCGATGTCCACTGATGCACTGCAGTTTTTGTGCCAGGAATGTCGACGGTCGGATAGTCGAGGTTATGTCGGTAGTTGAAGTAAATGTCAAAGAGAGGATTCTCACCGTGAGATCTTTCGCGGCCAAGTGCTGCAACGATACGATGAAACGGTAAGTGCTCGAAACGTTTCGCTTCATCAAATGCTTTTTCAATGCAATCGATAAGCTGATTATTTTGAAGTGCTTCCTTGAGATTATCAATTACGACGATAATATTACATAAGAAATAGCCAATAATCGAATTAAGTTCTTCGAATTGTCTGCCTGATGCAGCGCTTCCAATTACGATTTGGTTGGAATGGTAATCATCAGAAAATTCTCGTACAACACAGACGAATGCTGAAAGCATTAGGATGTATTCGGTTGTGTGACGCTGAGCAGCTGCGCTCTTGAGGCAATATTTCAATGATGGTGGTAACCGGAAAGAATATTGAGAAGTGGACGCAGGCGATGAAAATGATGGCGTTGAATCGTAATTGTGATCAGTTAATAGCCGTGTTGGTTTTGTGCATTTCAAACGATCACATGCTAACTGCAGATCATTGACGAAACTTTTCACATTGTCCTCATTTCTTTGCCACATTGCATAGTCAACAATATGCCTGGACAAGCGAGGAAGTAGTTTTGCTTTGTGTTTGTAACCACCCGAGAAGTTTTTATATATATCACTTAACTCCTTCGCAAAAATACTCATTGACCAACCATCAGTTACAATATGATGTTGTGAAACGATAACATGGAATTTATTTGAATCACTTTTGATGCCAATCATCCTTAATGGGATTTGTTCAAGTTCAAAGATAAACGATCGTTCAGCCTGAATCAATGACTCAAATCGAGTGTACCTTTGATAAGACCAATCGATGTTTTGATAAGATTCAGTCAACGATAAACATTCTTGCCAATATTGGTCGTTTTCGATTGAAGTGGTGAAAACAGTTCTTAATGACGTTTGTCTTGCTATCAATGCAAATAATGCATATTGTAGGTATTTCAGGTTTATGGCACCTTCAATTTCAATTGAGAATACAATGTTATATAGCGTTGGTTCATATAAACTTCTTAAAATTAGCATATTTTCTTGAGCAAACGTAAGTTTCAATTGTTGCAGTTTTTTGGCTTCAGGTATGCGAACCTTCTGTAATTCTCCAACTTGAGCATTCTTATTCGACGACAGCAATTCTAAGAAATCAGCCAAAACAGGATGCTTAAAGAGATCATTAATCGTGAAAGCATTGTGTCCAAGCTGTTTATTGATCTGCCAAGTGATCTGCATGCCATTCAAAGAGTGACCGCCCAGATGGAAGAAGTTGTCTTTCATTGAAATAGTTTCCACTCCTAGACATTGTTTCCAAATTTCCTTGACCATTTCTTCATTCAATTTTAAGTGAGTAGTAGCTGCAATTTGTTCTTGAGGTTCAGTGAAGCTCAAGGGTTGCTTCTGAAGTCTTGCTACCTGATCAACTATTTCTGCTGGACTTACAGTGGATACCGCATTACATCCCCTGTATTGAACAGCATTAAAAAATACTCGTTCATACTGAAGATCTGATAACGAGTTATCGATTATCAGTTTGGCAACTTGGCTATTAGCATCGAGAGAGGCATATTCAGCAATCATTGTTGAATCCTTCCATCCAGACCATTGAACACTGATAACATTATCAGTAACAGATCGATATGAGTGATCAAATTCAGCTAATTCGTCAAGGAATACGTTGGCAGCTGCATAATCTTCATTCCCATTTATACCCAAAATACTACTTAAAGTTGACGTTAACAAAACACCTCTGACAGTGCAATTATTGCTTTGCAATGCGTCAAAAATATTTCTAGTACCGTAGATTTTTGAAGCAAAAACACGTTCGACATCTCGCCCACTCTTATGAAGTTGTTTGGAAGTTACTTGGCCAGCCGCATTAATAACCACATTGATGCGCTGATATTTCTCATTCAAATTTCTTATCAGCTGGTCCATCTTTGGAGCATCCGACATATCGATATCATAAACATCGAAGCAATGCCCTCCGTCCTGAGAGGATTCTTGAATTTTTTTGAAAAGATCAATTTGTCCGAAAATATTCCTGGCATTTCTGCTCACAATCACAAAAGTTAGCGACCGATATTGCCGAGTCAGAAATTTGATGAAAGCTTGACCTAATGAGCCACAACCGCCGAATATCAGTATCAAGTCATTTTCATGGAAAAGATGACTGTCAACTGCATGAACTGACTCGCAAAAGCTCATTTCTTGCAAGCGATTCTCCGCATCACAACGCAGATAACAAAATTTTGGTTTCCAAATTGACTGACGCAAATGTAATATATGATTGCACAAATCCACACCATCAGATATTTGAAGACATAATGCGTAGCTTTGAAGTTGCGTCATGTGAAGTTCGCGAATTGGTCCTAGCAATGTGAGCGCTTCTGGAGGAGCTCTAGCCTGTACAAGCGATATTACCGATAAATGTTGATCGTAGCATATATCAGATAGGTAACGTTTGATCCATAGATGGGAATAGAAACTAATGTATAAACGTTGAGCAACTGACAGATTTTCGAAGTCATCACGCATATTCCATGCATGAATCACGAGCGAACATTTGAAATTTGCTCGACGTAGATGATCACCCAATTGTTGATAGGCGTTTTCTTGAGATGGATCAATCGTTAAGATTCCGTTCGTCGAATCTACAATTGTTGATGAATTCCGAACGGCTGCTTCAATTGGTTCAACGTGAACACATTCAATGAAAAGATTTTTCAAATCAATAATTAGCTGCTTCAAAGTTCCATTCATTTGTTTTGGCATGAAGAGAAGGACACTTTTGAGAGGAGTAGACGCACCAATTTTTCTTGAAGGTAGTTTTTGTAGACCAACCCAACATCGTCGAAATATTCTTACTGATCTTGGCTTTTTGATCACATTTGGTTGCCAGCAAACGATTTTATCGAATTGGTAGTTAGGTAAACCAGGGTCGAAATTACCTTCGGATGGTGCAACTTTGCTCCAGTTGATTTCGTAGCCAAGCGACCACAGTTTTGTAACTACATTCAGCAAATGAGTGGTACGTTTATCTTTTGCATTTCTGGACGCAACAGTTTCAATAACCTTTATCGATGAATGCGACTCTTTAAGAAGATTCTGAAGAATCCCCGAAGGTCCAATTTCGACAATCACTTGAATGTGTGACGGTAATTCGGTCAAACATTTATCTAAGCGTACCGCTGCTCTCATATGAGTGGCCATATACTCATCATTGAAGTCGGTGATTGGCTTCCCATCAACATTCGAAAGAATCGTTCGTTGTGGTTTATTTGAGCTGATGGAATTTTTCAGAAACGTTCGGAACTGTTCAACAATTTCATCCATAAATGATGAATGGAATCCATATTCAGTTACTAGCTCACGGAATTCGATATTTTGTTGCGTTAAAATTGCCTTGAAAGACTCAATTTCTTTTGCTTCGCCCACCAAGCACTTGAAATTCTCACTGAGTACGGCACTCACTTCGATTCCATCCGAAAGTTTAGCTGGGCAGTTTCGTACAGCAATCATCTTAGCAGATTTTGTCTTGCTGATAAGTTTGGAACGGTATAGTAGAATACGCAAGGCATCTTCGAGTGAAAATACTTCTGCGCTAACAGCCGCCGAATATTCACCTACACTATGACCAATCATCGTAGAGCAGTCAATACCCCAGTCGCGTATTTGCTCGACAATAGAGCAACACAATGACAGGAGAGCGCATTGTGCGAAACGTTGTTGTTTGAGAGGATCAACGGCGTTTACACTGAGATCACGGGTTGCGGAACCTTCAGAATGTGAAGGGAGTACCGCAGGAGCTTCAGGATACAGAATTTTCCAGAAATCGACGTTGAGTTGTTTCGAGATGATTTCAGCACATTTCCGCATTGATTCGCTGAACTTCGGCGCTTCAGTCAACGACACCTCACCCATGCGAGCATATTGAACTCCTTGAGGTGCGAAAAAGAATGCAATGTTATCGTTGTTTAAAGGATTTGATTCGCAAACGTCTTGTATATTGCCAAGTTGTTGTTTGGCATCTGCAATATCCCTCGCAAGAACTGCTGTTCTATAACGGAAATGCTCGCGACAATTTTGCAATGTGTATGCGATAGCATTCAAGTCTGATTTTGGGCCGATATATTCTGCTACAGCATGACACAACGCAATACAGGCGGTTTTTGTTTTTCCAGAGATCGGTAGCAAATAAAACTTTGATCTATCATGCGTCTCTGTACAACCGGTCAAATTTCGATTCATCTTCAATTTTTCATCGACATTCCTCAGCAACACATGCGCATTTGTACCACCTATGCCAAATGAACTCACTGCAACACGGAATCGCTCCTTCACGATTGGAATATTTGTTTTCGGAACGATGAAGTGCTGCTGATCTTCTGCATCATGTAATCGAGTGAAATTGATCTGCTTTGGAATGTTTCGTGTTTCAACGATTTTACAAATCTTCAGGAGTCCAGCTAGGCCTGCACCCGCAAAACCGTGACCAATATTTGCTTTTACTGAACCAATCACTAACTTTTTAGCGTATGAGCCGCGCATAGCACTCAGTTCTATCGCATCGCCGATTTTCGTTCCTGTTCCATGGCATTCAACGTATTCAACATCAGCTGAATCCGTTCCTTCAATTGCTTCTTTGAGACAATCTGTTTGACCACTAATATTTGGTGCGGTGAAACTTGACTTCAACTTACCGTCATTGTTGACCGCATAACTGTCAAGCAGAGCCAGAATTGGACTGCCATCTCGGATTGCATCAGAAACAAGCCTCAGTGCAATTACGCCAACCACAGACCCGCGCACTGTACCCGACGAGCGCTCGTCAAATGGTCTGCAATGACCGTCAGGTGAGAAGATCATACCGGATCGATAGAGATGACCGATGGCATCCGGTAGAACCAAGGATGAGGCTCCGACTAGGACCACCTCGCATTTTCGCTCACGCAGCAATTGTACTGCTTGAGTAACGGCTAGCAATCCTGACGAGCATGCCGAATAGACACCAAAAGATGGTCCTCGAAGATTGAGCAAATGACTTGTCCATGTGGCTACAAAATCCTTTTGATTCATATCGAACAACTGCTCTATTGTTCCATTATTGTCTCCCAAGAATGTAGATTCTGCCATTTCATTATATCCCCTGCAACCATACATAGTCGGTTCAGCAGCGGCTATTACACCAATTTTCAACGACTCACGTTTCTTGACGAGAGCACATTTTTCGAGAGCAATATATGCATGTTCAACGAACTTACGTATCTGAGGATCTAAGTGTTTGGCATCTGAATGGCTAATACGCCAAAACTGATGATCAAATTTATCAATGTCAGGGATCAGTCCACCAGCTGCAACAAATTCGCCGTCTTTTGCGACATGCTCGCTCGATGTTTCCGTCCCGTCATCCTTGGATTCATTCTTCTCGAAAGTGATGCTCTCTCTCCCTTCCAGTAGATTTTGCCAGAATTCATCAACATTCGCAGCACCCGAAAGGGCACCAGAATACGCTATGATAGCAATTTGTTGAGGGTCACTAATATCGCTGTGACTGATTTCTTCATTTCGGATTTCACCACATTCGTTTCTTTCTGATAATTTTGATTCAATATAAGCACTCATTGTATCGATTGTACATCGATCGTAGAAAATAGTTACCGGTATATCGAGTTCTAATTCATTCTTAAGAATATTTCTCATTTCATTGATCATCAGCGAATCTATACCTACTGACATGAAACCAACATCTGAGTCAATTTCTTCAACGCCACTCACTCGTCTTATGATATTCCGGAGCAAATCTTTTGTAGAACCGTTCCGAAATGATGGCGCATGATATGGAGATTCCATAGTAGTGGTCTCTGCCACTGTAATCCTTTTTAGCACTCCAGGAATAGTGTCTATCAACGCAGGTTTTATTTCACAATCTTCTTCATTTTTTGCATTTCTATCCTCTTTTACCTCAGCATGTCCACTTGTGAGAAGTTCTAGAATATGTTTCAAGTGTTTTTGTCGGCTCAAAATTGCTTCGAAATCTCCATCAAAAACCATTATTTGACCGCTAAAATCCAATATTTGGAATAAAGCGTCGATGGCATCTACTGGTGACAAAAAATTCCAACCATTCTTTTGAATATGTCGACGAATTAAATTCTTCTCATCACCGGCCAGCATGCCGACTTCTGCCCACGGACCCCAATTGATCGTGAGATAATTGACTGAGAATGTTGTCAGTAGACATTCCATAACATTATTGGCCAGAGCATAATTTGTTTGACCGACTGAGCCTAATACTGAAGCAACTGATGAGAATGCGACAAGTTTGCATTGGTGATTTGCGAGGCGGTTACAGATTCGAATCAAGTTCACAGTACCGTCTAATTTTGCAGTCAAAACGCGTTTCAATTTTGTTTCATCCATTTGCTCAGCCAGAGCATTTTCAACTGTGCCTGCACAATGAAATACGAATTCAATTGGATTTGTGCTGTGATTATCGAATAGTCTTTCAACGTCCTCGTAATTACAGCAATCGCCTTGGATTAGCTTAATATGAGTGGTTGATTTGCAGGATTCGATAAAGTCCCGAGCGGTTTCATCCAGTTCTGTTCTTCTGCTCAAAATCACAACGAATTTTGGTCGAAGTGCTTTGATTAAAGTCCTACCAATTCCACCCAATCCTCCAGTTATTGCGATCCGATGTAACCGCTTCTTCTTGTTGCAGATTATATTTTGTTGCAAATCGAACGTTTGCAAGCGCTCAACATATCTTTGACCATTCCTGTAGGCGATTATTTCGTCAAAATTATCATTCGAAGAAATTTCATCAAGAATTCGATCATCGATCTGATCAAGCTCAATATATCGATACACGATTTGCGTCTTTTCAGATGCTAGTGACCTTAGAAGGGCAATACAACAACTGCATATGTAATCTTCACGAGATTTTTGATATTGTTTAGTTTCGTCGGAAATTCCAGAAATTCCGAACACGTTAAATGAGGCTTTAGAGATGAAATTCCCCTTAACAGCTTCATCAAGGATCAACCAAATTCGAATCACGGTCAAGCATTGCTGAATTATATTATTCATGAAATCATCATTGCACTCAGTGATTTCATTCCACCCAAAAACGATGTCACCACATTTGCTTTGTTTAATCAGGCTCGTAAATTGATTCATGGATTGTGAATCGTTCCGAAGACTAATTGAAGCAATACATTCAGCAGGATATTTGTTTTGACATATTGTTGCATTAACAGCGATGAATTTTTGGTGAACTTGAAGTGATGAATGGTTAAGCGGACGTTTCGTAAGGGATTTCTGGAAAAACCATTTTCTTGGAGCGACATTGTTGAAATCTTCTTGAAAAATATCGACTTCTGCGATAATCTTGTCTTTTTGACTGCTTTCTTGAGCAGGTTTTTCTATCATCAATTTGTTGAATTTTGAAGGTTCAGATTTTGACCAATTCATTGGTGGTGAAGCACCCGTTTCTTTGGTAAGATTTACCTCAGAATGATCGAACAATTTTGATTTCAAAACTGAAACTTGTAAACTAGGATCCTTATTAGTTGATGCCATTTTGGAGAGTTCAGGGTCTTTGAAGGGCCAGAATCTACTCTCGTTGAAAGGATACGAAAACAATCGACACTTGGGAAGAGGTCCATCATTCAAATAGCTCCAATTGATTTCTACACCATTCGCCCATAAGTATGCCAGTAAACGAGCAAGACGCTTACTCGAAGATACTGGTTCACTATGGTCGATTGACAATTGATTTAGATTGATCACACAGTCGTATTTGTTCATAGCAAGACGATCACTTATTGCTGTATTCTTACACAAAATTGCAGGATTGTCACACCTTTCCTCATGATACTTGGAGGTTACTGATGTAGATTTCTTATCATCGCGGCACCAGTCGTCGTGGATGGCTTTTCGTAGAAAAACTTCGGCGACAATACGATCGAAATTTTCCTTGGCACAAATGCCCGTTGGACGAATACCAATCCGGATGAAAAACATCAAGAGTGAAAGTTTCGCAATGAACTGTATCCTAAGTTCTACACCTTCCCCGATATGATTTTCACTCCTCCAGCGAACATAGTTGTTATTCATATCAATGAATATTTTCTTGAAAGCGCCAATATTCTCGCACAAATTCAATACATCTTCCATACAAACCGACTTCCCATCGAAGTAGAACTGCAACGTATGAATGCGCTTTTCGGTATTACCATCAATAAAATCCACTTCTTCGTGAGAACTCCTAAGAACGGCAGTCGAACGAAATCGGTAATAAGTTCTGCATAATTGCAGATAAGCACAAATATTTTCGAGTGGTTCATCAGTTTCAGAGATGTATTCTTTGAATATGGTTTTCATTTTTGATAGACTTCTTGGGTCGTGTGCAGACAGAATCACTATATAAGGTCTGAAGATGACATTTCGACGCTTTGACTTCCAATTTGATTTTGATCGTATTGATCGAGACAGGAGTAATGAAACATTTGAGCCACTGAAACCGAAACAATTCATGAGAACGTTGTTTGATTGACTGTCATGCAATTCTTCACCCACGCAACCAACAAAGATGTTCTTGTGCATTCGATCCTTCCCGTTAGATGAAACATTAGTAATAGATGTATTCCTTTTAGCTCCTATAACAGCACTGTTATCAGAACTGGAATTGACGAAACTTTTTTGATATTCATCATAAGATTTTTGTGAATTCTGATTCAGAGCATCATTTCCAATATGGAAGTGTAAATTTGGTAGCAAATAATTGTTTTCTAGCGATTTCAGAACGGCTATAAAAGAAGCTAAACCAGCGGCCGCTTCACAATGCCCCAAATGAGTTTTGGTGGAATGCAGACGAATGCTCGCATCATGTAGAGCAGTATCTCGTTGAAACGTATCACAAATAGCGTTAACTTCAATTCTATCACCCAAACGTGTGCCTGTAGCGTGAGCTTCTACAAAGCAAATATCCGATACCATTGTGGAATTGAGAACTGCTCGCATCACGTCTTGTTGGCGTTGACCATTCGGCACTGTGATTCCTGAACAGCGACCGTTGTGACCACTTGCGTAAGCCTTTATCTGGATTCCGGTAAAACGTTGCTGATCTTCAAGATCAAGTTTCTTAATCAACACCATACCAACACCTTCCGAACGAACGTATCCATCAGCGCGAGCATCGAATACTTTACAGTGATTGGTTGGACTCAACATTTTGGCGTTTTCGAGAACTCGAGTTGTTTTCTGATTTAAGATAATATTCACAGCACCAACCATTGCCCATTCACAGTGACCACAACGGATTGCATCGCAAGCACGTGTCAGAGCTGTTGCAAATGATGAACAAGCCGTATCAACGGTTTCAGCTGGTCCATTCACGTTAAGCCAATACGCCAAACGTCCAGCTAAACTGCTCTGATTCGTGCCTATAGCCAAATATGCATTTGACTCATTCAATTCAGCGTATGCCCTCTGAGCAAAATCACTTGAACTAGTCGCTACAAATACGCCAGTACGATTGGGCAGTTGAGATAGGCCAGCATTATCCAGCACTCTTTTGCTCATTTCCAAAAGTAACCTTTGCTGAGGGTCAATATAACAAGCTTCCGCAGGGCTTATGCCAAAGAATTGCGCGTCAAAACATTCGATCTGCCTATCTATCAAATTCACATTACACGATTCAGGTTGATCTGGGAACATAGAACGTCTCGATAAGGCCGAATTGTTTGGTATCGTTCCAGTTTTGAGATCATTCCATAAAGCCTCAGTATCATATGAGGATCCAGGAAATTGGCCCGCATAACCAATGATACTAATTGTTGGAGTTTCAGTTGAAGATCGATCCAGTGCAGGTGGATGTTCGGGATATGAAAAGGATTTTTTGAGTGTTTTGTCTTCTTGAAACGACCTTTCATTGTTTTTTGCAGACTTTTCCAATTCGAAACCACCATTAAATCTCTCCCCGATTGACTTATTATTATATCGATTATTGCGGCCATTTTTTGAAAGATCTTTTGAATTTTGTTCGAAATTCAAAGCATTTTTTGAAGCTGTGCCAGCATTTTGCTTATTGATTGCAATGACATTTCTGATCGCGCAGATCAGCTGTTCGTTTTGATCATATACGTCAATGTCACCACTTACAAAACGTTCACTCCTGTCCTTGATGTGCCCAACTGCTCGTAATGAATCCAGACGCTTTATCTCATCACAGCCGATCCAGAGCTTCTCAATTTCAAATGGAATATAAACTTTTGGATTGTCTCGGTCAAATACATTAGCAGCCAGTACCTGTAAAGCACTATCAACAAGAACAAATACTGATTCAACACCAACTAAATCAGCTGATATTTCATCTGATGTACGTCGTATGTGCCGAATTACATTCAACTGCGGTCCATACTGAAGACCGCTGAATCGCAATCTTTCGTAGAATTCATTATGATCTAATAATCGAGCATTTCGACTAAACTGATTGCTTACAATTATTTGAGAAGGCATCTGTGGGAAATGAGTTGAATATAGACATTCACTGAAAGTCAATCCATCAACTGTTAAAAACATTTCGAACTTATTCCCTTTCAGTTTCAGTTCTTCACCTCCATTAATACTCAATGGTTTTCTCAAAATCACTCTTTTCATCAGAACATTCAGTGATCTTTCTGTAATATCTGCTCCAATCAACTTCCCAGAAACAGCGTTCGCAAAAAGTACTATCGAGAAAGCAGCGGGTATTAGCGGTATCCCATTGAGTTGGTGTTGGTCTACTCCTCTAAATCGCACATCTTCAACGAATCTTTCCATATCAATTATCATATCGATATCTTGTTTACTGTCCAATCTTCGTCCGATTTCGTCGAACTGATAAACTTTCGACCAGTCAATTTCAACTCCTCGCTTATCAAATTGCAGAAGTGTTTTGAGAATCGAATCAAATTCCAGTTCCTTTATTCTTATTGCAGAACACACCACATGCTTCTGCTGGTCATTGACGATAGCACGAACAAGCGTTGATAATATTTCACCGTTGCCAATTTCCACCCAGCAGTTTACACCAGCTGCCAATAAGTTCTTAACACAATCTCGGAATTTAACAGTGGATCGAATTTGCTCAATGATCTTCGTTGAAGTCACTGATTTTTGAAGTTTACCACTCAAATTACTTGCCAAACATGCGCGGCCAAGTTGTTTGAAGTGGATACGATCACAAAGGGCTCTAACTTGATGCAGGTGTTTATCAGCAATCAATGAAGAGTGAAATGGGTATTGATCATCCAATAACCTCACCAAATACCCGTTTTGATCAACTATTTGTAGACAACGTTCGACTACCTCATTTGAACCCGATAGAACAATTTGACGTGGACTATTCTCAGCTGCAATGTCCACACTGGTCATTTTTTGCAGCTTTTTTGCCACATCCATCGAATTCACAACAATCATACGCCCTTTACCCGCAAGTGCAGCCAAAGCTTGACCTCGCTGTACCACTAATCTTAAAGCGTCTTCAAGTTCAATCATCCCAGTCACTGCATAGGCAACTATCTCACTGACACTGTGACCGACGAAGAAGTCCACTTTGAGACCAAAATGTATCAGCAATTGCGCTAGAGAATAAGAAAAACAAAATATCAAAGGTTGTGCATATTCTGTAGCAAACAACAGCTCTCGTTGGCTCCATTCATAAGCAATATGAGCGAGCTTCTTAGAATTCGATGGCATGTAGCTTTGAGCGAGCGATAATACCTTATGAAGAGTCTTTCTGAAGAAAGGAATCGTTTCGGCGAGTTGACGCCCCATATTCCACAATTGTGACCCTTGTCCAGTGAACATAAAACATATGACTGGTTTTGTGCAGTTGCTTTTAGTGATTGTGGGTTGAGCCAGTAGTTTACGAATTATACCAAGTCGACTTTTTGCATGAACGCTCAAAACCATCGTGCAATCACGTCTCGGATTCAGTAAAATTCCAGATCTCATTTGCGAAAGAAATGGTTGATCGCAGAACATAAGGCGTTCAATTAAATTGACGACTTTCTCTTGCACTTCCTTCTTTGATTTTCCGTAGATATTGAAAGCATATGAATTTGGCAACACCATGTTGGCGTTATAAGAGATCATCGAAGAACATTCGTCGAAATCCTGATCGGCTTTTTGATCACTGCTATCGTCACGATCACTTGTATAATCGTCGTTCATATGCGTAATACTTTTCAGTTTCTGAGTCAGTCGATTAATGGTGGGATTTTCAAAAATTAATAAGATACTTAAATCTCGATTGAAACGTTCTTGCAGTTCCGTGATGAAACGATACGCTTTCAACGAATCCAATCCTAAATCCATGAATCCTGCGTCATAATCGCTGACTGAGAGTTTCATTTCACAAATACTCTCAAAACATTCAACAATTATTCCCTTCATATTCGAACCTTTGATTTCTTCCTTCGATCTCTTATTTGAATGCACATCAGAGTTGGTTGAACTAGCGACGACATCATTCTGGGGTACCATTTCTTTTGTTAGTTCGTTTCTAACTTCACGTTTTCGATCCTGCATTGGTGTATCAGCATCGTCCGAGATATGGCAAATACTCGCAAAAACAGTCTTCAAATCAGATCGATACTGAACAACTCGATCAATATTCAGACCAGCGACGATCACTTGCAATGGACATTGCTCAATAGCAAATTTTAAAAATCGCATAGCACAACTCGTTGTAAGACCGTTGAAACCGATGCGTTTCAGCTGTTGGTTGACCGGCACAGCCATACCTGTCTCTAACCAATTACCCCAATTAATTATTGTCGCAGGTAAACCGTTTGCATGACGTTCACGCATCATCTCATCAGCTAGCGCATTTGCCGCAGAATAGTTGCATTGACCACGATTACCGAGAACGGCTGAGACTGATGAATTCAGGATGAAATGTCTCGGCGAATGTCCATATCGATCGCAGAGTTTTTGAAGATTTGCGAGTCCGAAACATTTAGCCGCAACGGCTTGCTGGAACATTTGATGCGTTTGCCTTGACGACAATGCATCACTGGTTGAGCCAGCGCTATGAATAATACCGGTTAATTTGAATTCGAGTCTTTTGAAAAACTGTCGCATGTGTTTATAAGATGAAACATCCAAAGAAACAATAAGCACATCAACTTTATGCTTCATGCGATTCAACAAACCGTGTTTACTCTCCTCCAAAGGCCGCCTACCAACAAGTACAATATGTGATATACAGCGATGATTAATTAGCCACTGCGCCATTTGCCATCCAATCCCACTCAAGCCACCAGTGATCAACCAGTTTTCTTCAGAGTCTTGTTTTGTGTTAATTCCGCGATCTGGGAAGTTGCTAAGATTTAGACGTTCAACACGAAAGTTCCACACAAACTGAATACGAGGGTAGTTTTCAGTTGCCAAACTTTTCGAGAAACCAATAGCAAAGGCATTTGCTCGACCGGTTCCTGGTTGACTTAAAATAGTGAACTGCTGAGGCGACTTAAGTAGGAAAGATGTTAGTGCTAATAGCACATCAATCAAAGAATTTAGTGCGAATTTGCTATGAAAATCAAACTGAATCAGTGCAGAATCTCTTCTCTGCATGAGATTGGAAAGTGCCTTATGAATGCCCATCGAATCGCTTGTCCGTGCTGTCCAAGTATTCATTCGTTCATTATAAGATGCTTCAAAATCATTGGCATTGTCAAAAATCACAGCGTTCCGTTTGCCTTGCTGATAATCGCATAAACACAGCAAAAATTCGTCGCTTTCAATTTCGCAGTTGAAATATTTTTGAACATACAGGAAATCTTCATCAGTAATTGAAATCGATTTGGATAAAGCGTCTTCGCTGGATTCTATCGTCTCCGAATGGATTCCAGAATCCTTCTTAGGGATGACCAGATTAGCGGTGGCAACTGCATTCAGTGACTGGTTGCCTTTAGCTGACAAATGTTCTGGATGAGTTTTGATTATTAACTCAGTTCTTCGTTTCAACAATTTCGATTCGATAAATTTGGCAAGTTGTCGAATATTTGGATAGTCAAAAACATCCACGATACTAAGTTGTAGATGAGGGAAATGATTCTGACGAAGACGATTCGATAAATCCGTAATCATTAACGAATCAAAGCCAAGATCACTGAATCCAGTTGATAGCTGCGTATCGTCTAATGTAGTTCCGTTTGCAAGAATCTCTTCAACTGCATTTCTGACTTTGCTCATCACGCTCTTCTCTTCGTTGAGACTCAATGAGGCCTCATCCTCGTCTTCAGAACTTGTATTCTGGATCGTTTTTGACGCAACCTGTGAGATTCCTTGTGAATCCTGCTCATCATCACTGCATGAATCGTCCATAGAAATGGACGATAAAAGGACGCCTTCCGGAGAATAAGCTACCAGTTTATCGTTTCTGACTTCAATGAAACAGCTGTGGAACGAATCATCAACAACGAAAATTTCTTGTTTGAAGGAATCCATTTCTTTGTACAACATATCAGATTTGATTTTCTTGTGAAAACACAAAACCTGAAACATCGAATCAGCTAGACCGCGTATGGCACACCTTCTAGAAGGAGTTGCCTTGAAAACTCTGCCATCAGCAGATGCCTTAGTGATCGTTTGAAGAGAATTTCTGAACTTGATATCTTCATCCGCCAACTGATCATAGAAATTTGGTAAATTTATGAGCTTGTTTACATTTTCAGGCAACCTTTTCGTTATTATCGAACAGTTTTCCTCGGCGAACGCTCTGACGGATGCAATTTTTTGCCGCTCTACACAGAGTTCTACTGTGCATTCATTCGGCTTCAACTTTGCCACTTTTGTTGTCAACCAGAATTTTTTCGGCAATTCAAACTCGTGGAAAGACATATTCCGAAGAAAGTATCTGGAGCGGTTTTGTTTCCGGAGCAAAATTCGATCGACGGCCTTCAGAACTGCCTCGATACAAACGCCGTAAGGCATCATCAATGTATCATTAACGGAAAAATTGAACAAATAATGTTCATTTGATACAGATAGTTGATTTCGAAACGTGATTTCAGAAGGCTTTTCGCTGATGATACACCCAATGAGGTGATCATCGAAAGGTGTAGTTCGCTCACAATGCCAGTATTTGTGATTATTAAACTGATAGTTTGGAATAATATTGTCAAAATTCTCAGATTCGTAAAGAAGATCCCACTTGATATCAACACCATCCACATACAATCGTGCGAGTTTATCTTCAAAATTTGTGTCACTTCTTGACGCAGATGTCAACCGCTTCAAATTGATCCATTCAAAAACTTTGCCTCTTTGGGAGTTTGACTTTTTTAGCCATTCTTTAACGAAAAGTAATTTTTCTAACCAGTCTGAGATTCGTGTATTGCAAACGAAGGACATTTTTGAAGGAGGCAAGTGTGATGCATCATGAGCAACATAAGAGGATGAGCCGGTCAAGTCGCTTGGTGATTCGTTGGAGAGAATACTCTTGAATATGAATGCAGCTATTAGTGCATGATCACTGCTGATCATAACAGTAGAAATATGAATGCCGAGATCATATAAAAATACTGCCAAAGCACACTGATGTATAATATTGATGAGATCAGTTGATTGAGCGATTAAGCTTCTGAATTTAGTATTGCTATTGATAAGTTCACGTAGAAGTTTTTGAACCTGGAGAAATCTCTTTCGGTATTCCGTGTATGCTTGAAACAATCGCATTGCATCAACTAAAAATGAGCATTGAAATAAGTCAAATTTAATGCCATATTGTCGATTCACTGAGACTTTGTGTTTATCGGTATGAAACTCAGCGCAGATTCGATTTCTTTTCAATAAAATTGCACTCCGATAACGAAAATGCTCTCGATGTACGGCAGCCATACAGCATAATCGTCCTATTGGCATACTGGTTTCAGTCAGCATTTTCCTGCTGATCTCAAATAACTTTTGCAAAGATTGTTTGTTCTTCGATGATACTGGATAAATGTGATAGTAGCGCAGTGGATCACTCCATCGTGCGAGACTTCTCTTCCGAGAACAACTCGACACGATAGCAACTGCATTAGTGCCACTCACACCGAACGAACTAATTCCCGCACAACTACCATCACTGTCCCATTCTTCACCAACAATGGGCAATCGAAATTTATTTTCCACAAAGTTTTTCGATACCATAAAATGATTATGCACGGGCAAATAGTTGTAATACATCTGCAATGCTACTTTCAGAAGTGCACATGCACCAGCGGCAGCTTCTGTGTGCCCTACGTGAGTTTTTGCCGTACCCAGAACAATGTCCTCAGTTTTGAGTGCACTATTGAGTGATTTCATCTCAATAGCATCACCCAATAATGTTCCAGTTCCGTGTGCTTCCCAGTATGATGGAGTTCGATTGTTGGATACTTTTTCTAAGCTTCGTTCAATGAGTTTTTGTTGTGAGAGTGCATTCGGTGCTATTAATGAAGCACTTCGCCCGTCGTGATTAATTTGACTCACATCAATAACTCCATAAATTTGTCCATTCATCAATCTATTTGTATCAGTGATCCGCTCTACCAGAAATACAACACAACCATCCGAACGTCCATAGCCATCAGCTCTGGCGTCAAACGTCTTACAGAAACCATCTTCAGAGAGCATGCGGCCATTAGCTCGTTGTCCGAAGCCTCGCTCAGTTATCATCAAATTCACACCACCTACAAGTGCTCGAGAACACTGATTCTGAAGGATTGCTCCAATAGCAGTATTTAGCGCCACTAAAGATGAACTACATGCCGTATCAATTGTTACAGATGGAGCGACACTATCAAACACATAGTTGACACGACCCGATAGAACACTCGCACTTGATCCTAACATTGAGATCACGTTATCAGGATGATTTGTTTGCAAGAGATCATCCGCATATTCAGAACCCATAACGCCAACATATACACCAGTATCTTCAAATGATTTCAATCCACCATTTTCCATGCATTCATAGACACATTCCAACAAAATCCTTTGTTGTGGATCCATTTTTTCAGCCTCACTTTTGGAAATGCCAAAAAATTCAGCATCAAACTCAGCAATATCATCTTGTAAGAAGTTTGCTCCCTCGATACTATGACCATAGTTTGCTCCTGACAACAGGTTGTCACGAGCACTGATCCGACTGCATGGTATTTTTGCGGCTATGTTCTTGCCAATTTTAAGTGCTTCCCAAAACTCGGCCAAATCGTTAACATTCGACGGTAAACGACAAGCAAACGAAGTAATTGCGATCACCGATCCATCCGATTTGTTTTTTATCTTTTCGAAGATTTGTTCTTTATCTTTTCGAAGATCTTCATTTGAAGCACTGTCGGTGTTTTGTTCTGCTTCTCTGTGAGAAAAATTTTCTCCGAAACCTGCATACGGAGCATTTGATGATAGTGTTGTCTTTTGATCTGTTCTGTTATCAGATTCCGATATTTCCATGTTTTTCAGTATCTTACTGAAATTGAATGGCATGAAAAGTATTCCTTTGAGCAGAAACATCGCTCCATTTATACGAAGCATTAGACAGCCGTTCAAATAATTATCCGAATATTTATAGGAGAAACAGGCAGTATTAGCACTATCTTCTGAAGCGGTCGTAACAAAATCCGAAGTGGCTGTTATACTGTCGATATGATACGGCACTATTAGAGAGCAGTTCTGTTTGGGTGAATTTTTAAGATGACAATAAACTATTGCTTGCATTGCACCATCTAACATCACATCCAAATGATTTGAGTCAGTCAAACGAACGGTGCCCTCCGTTCCCGTGTAACAGACCTCAGCAACTGAACGAAATGTTTGTTTGTGCTGATAACCATAGGATAGCATTGTATCGTAAAATTCATTTGCTCTAATTTTGCATTCATAATTATTGGAGAAATCCGCTTTGCTTACCATATCTTCATCGACATACAATTTCGAGATTGGCTCTTCAGTGGGTGGATGCTTTCGAATTGAGCAGTTCAAACAAATCCGTCCCTTATGAAGGATATTGACTGTCGTCATTTCATCAGAATTGCTCGTTTCTTCTAAATGAAGTCGAACAATTTCATCAGCTGAACTGAACACAATTGGAGAATTAAATTGTACGTTTTCGAAAGTGAATTCTTCAAGTTGCAAATATTCCTTCAAAAGAAGAATTTGTGATGCAGCAGATAGAACCAATTGATCAGCAATAGTGTGATCAAGTAAATGTGGATAATCTGAGAGAACGATATCGAAGGTAGTTGATTCTGGTGAACAACTAGGAGATATTGTATCAATACGATGAATCTTGTCCGGTGGAACACGTTCTAGTAAGCTCCATTCAATGTCCACTCCGTTTTCGTAAAGTTTAGCGATATATACAAGAAACAGCTTGATAGAATCAATGATAAATAGTGCTGAATTGGCCTGACAATTGCTTAATGATAAGTCAAGAACCTTTCCCTGTTGAATATTCAGAAATGCAAGTTGTTCTGCTTTCGAACATTGTATTGCCTTGAATATCGCATCGACAGTGTCAAGAGGACAACCGTAAATATCTTTCAGTAGTATACCACTTTCATTCAGAGTAATCTTACTGATTTTCTGGCGGAGCTCTTTAACGTTTCCATTTGTCGCTACCTTATAAAGATGACAAGCATCTTGAAGTGATAGAATCTGTAGTGCAGCACAACAAATCAAAACATCATTACCGGAACTCAACACGCCACCTTTATGATATCCAATTTTCAACATCAATCGACACATCGCATACGATGCAGAAGCACGATGAAATATGCTTTCACACTTGGGGTCAGATTCAATACTGAACGCTTCACAACAGTTGATGAAAGAGTCACGGAAAAATGTTGATGATCGATAAAAAGCTTCACCATTAAAGTGTGGTGATTCTGTATCGATGACAACAGCTGATTTGAGAGGATCTGAACTTGCTGGTGAAGTTTCTGCGTTGAGTTGAGGTGAAATCAGTTGCAGCGAAGCATCTTTCTTCGTGTGATCATTGCTCACAATGAACGCTTTACGATATTTCTGATGGTGTGTTTGATTGAACTGAAGACGTTTGGTAACCTCATCAACAGTTTCTCTGTTTTCCAGTAGATTTTCACTGATAGTTAAAATTGCTCTTTGCATTGCTTTCCGATTTGGAGCTGAAACTGGCAGAAGATAAAAATCATCATTATGAGAATCTTCGGATTGCTCAGCATTGACACAACCATCGTTCAGCAATTGATTATTTTTCTTCGCTTTATGGTAACAATCAATAGCGAATCGCCGATCTGAATCAATGATTACAGCCGAATTCACTGCATCAGTTGATTGATGACAGCAACGATTGCTTCGTAGAATCGAAGAATGAGATGACCGAGGGACGCATTCCGATATCGTTGCATCTGCATTCCTTTCTCCAGTTTCCTCATCTGAGCTGCTGTTGTCCGCGTCCGATAAACTACTAACATTACCATCAGATTCGCTCGATAATGAATTTTGAGGTGATCCCAGCACTTTGGCACTCCTTCGATGAACCAAACACAAAATAAAAGTTCGAAGACAGTGTAAAATCGCCTCATTCTTAATGTGAATCACTCCTGGCGTCTGCTCATGCCCACTGAAATTCGAGAAAGCATTTTTGTGCTTCCTTGCGAACTTCTTCTCGTTAAACTCATCGTTGTTCCATCTCTGCTGGTGCACATGTTGAATGTTGTTCAGCCATTCTGACTGATGTTCGCTGTTTTTGCGGTGATGAAATCGTTCACGATTGCACAAACAAAAGCTGTATCCGAGTGACGATTTCTGATGATGACAATTTGCTGATGCTAATGATTCAAAAACAAGTACAGAAAAACAACCATTCGAAGTTGAACGTTTGATAGTGGTAATTGGGGGAGCAGTTGAAGACTCCGAATTGAGATGAGGCGGAACTTCTACTGGTCTGGAAAAAACAAAACAATAGCTGATACTTTTGATTCTACTTCTTTGATCAAATCACTACAAAATGTTGTTATTGACAATGATTTTTAATTTAACTGACGCTTTCGCTTGCCATGACAAACAGTACTTCCAGAGTATCTTAATAAGTGCTAGTCGATGTTTTAATAAAATTTCAAAGTTCTTAGATTAATAACAGAATTATACTTAAAATTCCATTTGAGTAGCTTATCAGAGAAAACTTTTACCTTCTTAATTGACTGTCAGGTGTGAGAACTATCACAATAACAACAGCAGACTGCTCACAATCAATACGATTATGCATGAGTTTCAGTGCATCACTCAATGTCACATATTTCACATTAGCAATCCAATTGTCTGCATTCATGATGCTCGAAAACCTAGAATAAACAAGAGCAAATTTGAAAAGGCGATAAGAAAAGATTACAAACTGAAATTTCATGGTGAAAGAATGCTCAAGTTTTCACGGAAGAACATGAAATGCAGGCAGGACTAAATTCTTTGCAGAGCATCAGCATATACATTATTAGCGTGCTAGCTGAAAGCATTGAAGAACAGTGACCAAGGAAAACATAGTAGAAGTTGCTAGTTCCAACTTGGACTATCAAATCAGGGTATTTTTTTCTACCTCATTATTGTACTCGATGGCGCTTGCTGATCATCATAATTGGTATCGACAGTGTGATCAAATGCAATCAAAACGAAGGGATCAGTCTTCGAAAGACGAGATGTGGATATGTGAGCATCGTTAAGAGCATTTCTTAAACCTGAACGAATCTCGTCCTGACGCGCTTCTATTGTATCACGTATGTCAAGAAGTTGCTAAAATTGAATCGATTGAGGGAATGAAATAAAAAGTTTCAAATTTTCATTGATCATTGCAATGAAAATTAATCGAAAAAATATTCTGTAATAATAGTAATAAAGGACTCTTGCTTATGAGAAATTGTTCTCGAAACGAGCGATGTAGATGGGTTAAAGGCAAGAAACTGAAATTTTCTCAGTACTATACTCACATCTGATGGAGTACATGTCACTTTCGAGAGCTTGCAGTCGTCTTGCACTGAACAACTTTGATTCGGAAATGGATGACTATCCTTGTCGATAATCAAGTCCTGATTACTACCATCTAAGAGCTGCTGCTTGACGAATGCATCTAATGAACCACAATTCGGAAGAGAACACCAAAATCCACTCAGAGAAATCGCAGAACACCGGTTGTAATTACTCATTTTTTTCGTCTTTTGTCATTCTAAAATTGAGCACATTCATAACTGATAAGTTGCAAACCAACCAATATTTCAATGGAATCGACACTACAGAAAAATTAGGCTTAGACCAGAATCGTTAGGAACACAATTATCGAAGAACTTGATAAATATTTGCGGAAAGAAAGTGAAATTTAACTTTATAATTCAGCAGTCAGAATGATGATTGATGGTTCCATTTCGGAATCAATTTCAACCAGAATTTGAGCGAGACCAGTCTGAAACTTCACGGGATGCGATGCGAGCAATAAATATGAAACGTATCGATGCTTGATTATAACAGACACACATCTCTGTCCATGAAAGTGTTGTTTGGGACAATTATCATGATGTGTGCCATTTGATTGTGGCTAATTTCGAAGAGTCGACACGTAGGAGACATCTGTAATAAACAAATACCAGCCTATTGGTTCATGATATAATCGGAGAAAAATGGAAAACAGATAAACACTTTTGTTTTGCAGATTTCGAAAGACTAAAACTTAGCATTTCCGATGAACTGATCAGTCCCTTTTCTAATCTGTACACAGGGATAGGGGTTGTTTACTTTGAAGTGATGCTGCAGTATAAATATTACAAAAGGTCGAAATAATGTGCTCCCTGTTCATGCTCAGCGTTTCGGCAATCAACACCATTATAATCATACCATGACGGTGAAAAAAACGAGAAACATGTTTTTCCATAGAAATAAGGAGCAAATTTCATACTTCCAAAATATGAAGGCAACTTCGAATTCAACAATAAGGAGAATTTAAATTTCGTAATTTCCGTTCGCAAAAAGTCCTATGAACTATTGCTTAACAAGTGTATATGAGTTCAAAATTGCATTCATTTAATTTAGACCAAATTTACCGTGCCTAAAATTTAGTGTACTCCAACCATTCATTCCATTACTGATCATCGAGAAACAACTTCGCACTGTAAGTGAAGATCAAACCCATGATCTCAGATCAGGTTTGATTTCCGTTGGAAAGGTCAACTTTTGTCAGGAACTTTTCAGTGGATCAATTAATTTGTGATGGTTTATCCGTGTTGTATCAGTTAACTCTTTAATGCATCAAGTGGTATCAACTAAAAGTTATCAGTGTATCAACTAGCTTTTTAATCAATTAATTTTAATGGTGTATGAAATTATCACTCATAAAGGATTTCCGCCGATGTTTCTAAGCAAAAAGATGAGAGTCACACCGACTGGGATCACCTCACTGATAATCTCCGAAAACGTGACAGATATAAGGTTCACAGAGAAGTGCCTATGTGATATCGGCGAGCAACATCAAACGCACCGCGTTCAACGCCTCGGGAATTAACGTTAATGATTCAATCCTTGCAAAATGTCCCTTACAAAACCTTCTTTTGCAGGTAACCGCCTAGTTGGAAATCCATATTGAATCAGCAACCTTTGTTGAACATGCCGGTTACTTCGGTGATTTTTTTAATCGAGATATATCCAATTTGATAAGATGCTGTCTGTCTGTTGTGTTCACCATATAAGTCTTGCTCGTTTTAAATGGCTATTTCTTTCTAAATGGTAAAGTAGTCAAACAGTAAGTAATCAAAGAATTTGATCGATGTAGAACAACCGTTGAGCTCTCCTGCACAGATTACTGGAAATTTCTTTTATTTTTCTAAATCAAATCTATTCAATTTTTACCATTAACGTTTGTTAGGAGTGCGCAGAAACTAAATGTACCCTCAGTACGATAATTTGCAGCATTCAATTACGAATTCATCAGGAGTAGTTAGAATTTTTGACTTTGGGAATAAAATCATACTCATTGTACTGCTTTCATTCCGTGTGAAATTAATCACCCTCCTTGCTTCAACTACAAAACATTAACTTTTGTACCCATAGGTATTTTTTGCTTTCAACCATTTCTCTTTTAACGAATTCATGAAATTCTTTAGTCTTACAATTCCACGAGGAATTCGTCGTTGACCGTTCACCGAATTCAATGAAACTTTTTGAACTTGTGGTTTATTGTATTCAGCTAACTCTCACATAATAGGTGAATACTGAATTGAGTTAATGGGAGTACTAGGAGCATTTGGTAATAAAGTGATAGCGCTATGAAGTCGACCCTTCGAGAGGCGGAGTAATGTCACATAGGGTAAATGATAAACAAGATAAGAAATTGCTGACTTATTGTTGTTATTGCTGTCGGTCTTCAGCTCTACTGCAAATGCAGAGATAAGTGAATGTTTAATTTGTGATAAGATCACTCAATTGATCTTGTCGTATATTCTATGCTTTTTACACTCTTTTTATGTAATATTTTTAATGATGTTATCATTCGTTTTCAATTGTTTAATCAAGTGATAATGATTATGAGGTTGGTGTAACAAATTGATACTGCAGCTTTATCAATTATCACTAAGCTTGATAAGAATGCATTAAAGAAACGATCATTTATGTAATCAACATGTATTTATATGTTATTTTCACTTCAACGAAGTATCATTTTGTTGTTATTGGCTTGACACACTGAATTTGGAGATCATAAAGAGATCATACAGGAATTGGTTGCTGAAGTTGAGCTGACTTGAAGTACCAATTAATAGCATACATGTTTTATCACTGTTTCACAAACTATCTGATACCTCCAAGTGGTTAAGATTTGGTGACGGATAAGCATGAATTTTGAGTGTTCAAAGTCTTCTGCTTGTAGCACGATGAAGACACTGAATTAAAGTATAACAGAAGATATTTTCGGGTGTTATCAGATTAAAATTCATAAGTGAAAGATATTGCCGCTTGATATTGAAAGTTGCTAGCCGAATATCATGCATGGCATAACGTAGTTTCGTAATGATCGCTGAAAGTGAGCATGAATCATATGTTCTTCATAAATTAGTCGTTCAGTGCGATTTTTGATCACTGCAGTATTTTTTGCTGGCGAATCGCTACCGTATTCCTGGCATTCATCTTACTATATGATCAAAAAGCATGAAATATTTCAGATAATACGATGTCTTTGCATACACCTGATTCATCGTTCAGTTTCGATACGGATGCATGTGAACCATACATTCCATATGGTCAGTTATTGTATTAGGCGTTTCATTTCTTGCCAGTTGCTGTGAAAATAGCTCGGAGTTAGCTAGTCAACTGATTGAGCATTGACACCGTCCTGAAAAGGATTCTATGAATTCGGAAATTTTTCAAGATGAGTACAGCTGTGTTAGCTCCTAATTATAAGTTCAAGGGAAGGTAAGAAATAAGAAAAGAGGCAGCGAGCTGTGAACTGTTTGTTGTAGGTTAATGGATTGTTGATGGGTTTCAAAATGCATATTGCAGAGTTATCAGAACCAAATTTTGCTGATGAAGCGTATTATACGGATGTAGATAACAAGGAAGGTGATGGTTTCGGCAGCAGTTACTCGTCTTGTGACGATTTGTTCGATATAAAGCCAACAATCAAACCTGAACAGGGCATTCAATGTATGTGCATTTTCGAACGTTGAAAGTTCAAATATTTCATTGATTATTAATCGAATTGATCATTTTCTATATTCGTTCTCAATAAAGAATGATATTCTTAGTTATTCATTTATTAAACTGAATGAATAAATTGGCATTACTGTGAAATCGCCCTATTGTAACCCCCTCCAATCATTCCAATCGCCCGTAAAGTTCGATAAACTGATGCAGCAACTTTTTTGCATTCTCAGTCTCATTTGTTCATTNGGCAGAGAATCGAGTGAAATAAAGCAATAGACGAAATTTGGTTAATAGTAATTTCGAAAAATTTCAGCTGTTCCCGAAACACCACGATTAGCGCAAATGCTCGCACCACTTCAAAATACGAGTCGTACGAATGAAAACATCAACTTACCCCTACCGGAAATTAATGAAACATTCAAAAGCAACAGCTATTCAAACGACATTCCGTATAATTCGATATCATCGATATCGAACTCATCCTCCTCCTCATCCTATAAATTATTCAACCAAAATGTCGCCTCACCTCCTCCGTTCACCTGCATCATGACACAATCGCCATTCGTTGTTCTACCATTTCAGCAGTACAATAATAACAATATTAATAATAAGTTAGTGATTGGTTGTGTTTCGTTTATTTTTATCCAATATTCCTTACTTTATCGTTGGTAATTAAACTTACTGGAAAATGAATCTGAATGGTGGTTTAAGTTCATTACGAAGAAAGTTTTTGTTAAGTAAATAGCAAAGCAATTTCAAATACCTTAGTCGCTTAGAAAGATTCCTTAGCTTTTACTCACAAAAAGATTTCGTTTCCACATCTGTTGAATATAATGATTAGTTATGATGTTTTTAAATTTCTTGCCGCATCAGATAATAATTCTATGATTGTATTGCAGTTGTACTTACAACTGTACAAATCACATCCAAATGCAACCGCACTACTGCATGAACGGTTCACAGCGAAGTTATGAGTGCCAACCCCAAGGCATGAACGACTGCCAGGTAAACATTTGCTGCTGTTGAAAATGAAATACAAATTAGGGTAAACTTGAAGAACGTTATGAAATTTCGTCTAGACGTGTTTTCTACAGATCGTTGAATAGCCACCATTTGCAGTCAAACTACAGTCAATCACAGCCGCTATCCACATTTGAGAATATCTCACCTCCAATATCACCCGAAAACGTTCTCGAGGAATTTTTCAAACCGATGCAATCGTCTGAAATCCCTCGTAACCGACCAGTCACCAAGAAAATGAAGGTATCGTGTGACGTTTTTTGAAGTGCTTCCATCTGATTCGATGTAGATTCTGTTATTACACGCGGAAATTGAATCATCGAAATGTGAATTTCATTCCTATGGAAGGAGACAGCCAGTCAAGTGTACAGTTATGGATAATTTTCAGCCGATAAGTTGTCATGCGAATTCGGTTTGTACGAATTGTGGTACCAGAGAAACAACACTGTGGCGAAGGAGTGCTGATGGATCGGTTGAATGCAAGTAAGCACATAATACCCTCAAAAACTTATTCATTCTAGTTTGAGCTGTAGTAATATCAGTCGCTGTTGCATTATCGCATTCAAATTTTCAATATTTTAATGCATGATTGATGATATTAAAATTCGATTTCAGTGCGTGTAATTTATACTTCCGAAAGAATAATCGTAAAAGACCGATCTCAATGAAGAAAGCGATTCGAAAACGCGTTCGAATTCCACGTGAGGCTCGTCAATGAATCCAATCGCATTGATCACCTCTGTTTGCTACTTGACCAATTCACTGGATTGCTGCTCCCATCAAATGATGTGTATTCCATTCTCTCTAATCTCTTCTTGCTAATGATTGTTTTTGATTCAAGATCACTCATCCAGATATCCCTATATTACCTCAGTTATTGAAATAATTGCTTGCAAATGATTTCTAATGTGTTATGATGCTATTGCAGTTGTTTAATACTCAACTAGGAACCTCTCAATTGAGAACGATTCGGCATTTTCAATTGTTCCCTTTTCTTCTCGCGCATAATAGCAAATAATTGATAGTGCTGATAACTATAACAGTAGTAATGACAGTAATAATTCTTTGGGTAAGAACGATAATAACATTTAAACGATAACTTATTATGTCCTAATGACTATGTGGTCCAATAATGATATCTCATTGATTTCATTCAGACGCAGTCTCGCTATAAACCGCATTTATAAAATTGTATTTTAAAATTATCAGGGGACTGTTTTGCAGTGTTACTCACTCATTTCAATGAGTATTTCGTATTCATTTATTAATATATCACTTTATTTATTGTTTATATGAATGTTAATCTTTTGTGTAATAAAGTTTTCTCGTATCTATAATGCCATTTACACGATTTTGCCAGACAAGAGATAAATTTTTCAAAATTCTTACAAATTTTCATTCCAATTCAATTTTTTTCTGATCAATTACAACTATACAATTACAGTTACACCGACAGATTTCTAAAATTTACGTTAAAAAAAAACAAATAAAGCTCTTGAGGTACAGATTACAAATGGTCATTAAAAAATCGTCACATATTCTTCGTTGTCCTCAGAAAATTTTTAATTCCAAGCCACTTTCATCAATGGTATACCTTTTGCCATTCATTGCTGTTAGAATCCGTCTTCTGAAATTTCAAACGATGAATAGCTTTGTGAAATTATCTCATTGGAATGGTTTTTGATCCAATCGATCGATTGAGCACGATCATGATTATTCAATCAAAATTGTTTTTAAGCAAAATTATTCGGTATATTTTACGCAAGAATGTTTCAAATCAGACAACGTAATCGATGTAGTTAAAGTATAAATCTGTCATATGTTTAGGGTAAATGTGACATATTTATTTAGGTAAATGAACATCAGGTTGTGACACTATCATGAGCATATATGTAATGAGCATCAGGTAAATGTGACATATTGTTTACGCAATGCAATTATGAGTATCTGATCAGGTTTTCAAGAATCTAAAAATGTACCTCTCCTCAATATGTTCGTCGCTGACTTTGTTTCGTAACCATGACGGATAACCAAACTTTCTGATGTACAAAATTAGAACGAGTAGAGTGAGAGTAATCACTAGGCAAACGAATACTAGAGTGATTAAAAATGAGCCCATCCAGAATAGCACAGGCGTATCAGTGGAATCCTCTCCTATATCATCAGCTTTGATTTCGTCAGCGAGGAATGTTTTAGCAGAGTGTTGTTTGGATCGGTTGATTTCAAGTGCTCTTCGTTCGACATTCGCGAACTGTTCCAGCCACAAATGTGCTTCATTATTGTAGAAAGCATTCTGCATTTGAGGCTCGACTATCGATCCATTTTCGTATGTTACATGCGTTATTCTCATGAAATTGCGTTGATCGCTATTGAATGCCTTCCAATCTGAAAATGATTTTTTATAGAAATCTTCCCATCTATTCTGTGAAATCACGAGAATGTAGCGCATCTATGCTTTTTGTCAGTTGGAGCAGCGATAAGCTTTAAGAACGCATCGTTCCTTGTCGATTTGATTTCTTCAAATCAGTGTGTGATTTCCATCGAAATTTTCGCAAAATCCGTATTCCTCATCGCAGTTTATGCGTCTTCAAGTAATCAATGACAGCATTCAAATTGTGTGCCCAAAGAGGACATCTATCTAGAACTGTCTCTTTTCTAAGACTCCGAATAATCTTGGAAATCCAAATGAATCTGAGCAAGTTTCAATGAAATCAAACACATTTACCGCTACTGGGTTGGCCAGTCTTGACGAACATCCTTATATAAGTCGGATATATTTTATCCATCGATAACTCATCATCATTCATCTTTTTTCGCCGTGGATAATAATCTTTATCGAACAAAAATCTGATATCACCACTGTGTGAGTCGTGGTGAGGCATTTCGAATGAGTACAAAAATACGGACGGTGATGCCTTGTTGATTGATGGAGACGACAGTCGCATGGCCATTCGAAGCGCACTCGAATGAGTCTCATCTTTCATCACGGATAATTTACCTGTAACGGATCGCTCGATTCAATATTTTAATTTTCACTTAATTTCCTCTCAAACAACTTATTCATTGCAAATGATCTCACCGTTCCTGAAGGAGTATCTTTCTATACAAGCTTCAGTTGCTTCACTTGTACGATAGCCAAAAACTCCAGTGTATGTAGCACATTCGCGTGGTACTGTCGACCTCATGCGAGTTAATGCCAACTCATTTTTGGTCACTCCGAGAAGCATAGGACGTTTCTAGAAACGGAAAAAAAAAACACAATATCATCTGTTCAAAGCATCACGTCTAATACAACTCAGGTATCGTTTTCATATGCAGCATGGATTTTCGGTGCCGACAATTATTTGCTGAGATTTTTAGGATTAATTTGATTATCGCAACCTTCCCTTTTTTGGCACCGTTAATCACGGATTTTCATTGCTATTAGAAAATAGCTTTGTTGTTGGACGGGAATGCTTAGATTAGTTCCAAAGTTAAAGTTGAAGTTATTTCCCTGAAATATATGCCATATACTAGCTGGAGGATTGTATAGTGTCGCTTTTTTGCGTTCCTTTGATCATTCTATCGGTCTTCAATCAATTGACACGAAACTTTGATAAATTTTGAGGGTGGATTGATGATTCGGATGAGGCTTGAATTCAAAAGAAAGAGAATATGAGAAATTTTAATGGCACCTCACGTTTTGTCTCAGTAACTTGAACGCGGTATCAGCCTTGAATAGGTAACCATCAGGTTCAGGACCAAACATCATATCGAAGTATTCAACATCAGTTAAAGCGTTTTGATGCCTCAACAGCTCGTCGGCTGGTGTCTCTCGAAGACATTCAACTAAAGCTCCAGTCTCATAGATCTCTCCTTTTTTGGTGCACTGAAATCGATTGAAATTTTCTGTTTTCATTTGATCACTGATTTTTTAAAAAGGTAACTGAAAGTAAACACTCACGGAAATCACATTCACAATGAGACAAATCATACGATGCACGCAAAATCTATGTGATGTATCGTGAATAAAACTTTCAGTCTCGAGTTTCGTGGGCCAAAACTGTATAGACTATAAAGCAAAGGAACTTACATTAACACGATAAGCGATTTCCATCGTCATACTGTTACTCAAATTGCGTCGATACAAGTCAACATGACTCATCGAGATGCCCTGTAAGACAGTTGCATGTTCTTCGCATTAAATTATTCGTTTATTAACTTGCAGTCATTCGGGACCATTTGATAATATTCTAGAGTTACCTTTTAGAAAACTCATTGGTGTTATTTCTAAAATTTCAGATTAATATTATTGCTCGAGACCACTCTCGATCACACCTTTAGAACGCGAATATTATTCTTGATCTAATATACTTGATCAAATATTGATCTTGATCTAATATTCTAATACTAATATTCTTGATCTAACAGTTTGACAAACGAGAACGCAAGAACAGGAAGCTGAAGTCTGTTGAAATCACTGTGCAACTAAGAATAAACTGAAGTTTATATGATGAATTGAAGTCTAATGACTGAGAACCGCGGAATACTCGTTAAGAATGTCGAACCTGTTGAAATAAATCCTCCGGAACAGTTTCACTCAACGTCAGCAACTGAACAGCTGTAGCACCAACACTGTGTCCCATCAAAGTTATTCGATTTGGGTCACCATTAAATTTCGAAATCTCATTTTTTACCCATTCAATTGCAGCAATCATATCTGAAAAAATTTTCTGTATTCTAATTTCCTTCTGCGAGATCGGTTTGAGGGCACTATGAAAGTTCATATGACATTGTCTTTTCTCGTCAAACAGAGACATACATCACTGATTTCTATTTACATAACGCTCACTCAAGAGCGATACTGTCATCGCATCTTCCTTATCAGCTGCACACCGCAACTCAATCGCTGAATTAATCCCAACCAAACTATTGGTATGCATTGATACATGTTACATTGCAGTATCTATCAATTACGGTATATTGTATCTTTATCAAACAATGCCCCCTCGGATAATTTATGCCTCAGGTGAAATCAAGTGAAATTATTTCTTATGGAAAACTACTCATTGCCAGAGAAATAATAGCTTCTTCGGGCAGTGCATAGGTCATGGAAGGATTGTTTACCGTAGAATCCGAGATTTTTTGGAGCAAATTTCTCATCTGCAACGCTAATGAAGCCGAATATGCCGAGTCGATAAGCAGGAATTACGAAGATGATACGATGCGATGCGAATTTCTCAGCAATTACACTTTCGTTGAACATAACCGCCGATTGAAAGAAGAAACTTCCTCCATGAATGTAGACGACTACCGCACACTTTTTGACCTGAATTTAAAGCTGTGGAATTACTAGTGCAGATGAAAGACCGCTGAAGGTGATTGCTGCATATTTTTTAGCTCACTGATTCGAGTATGAGATTTTTTGGGGAATACTGAAAATTCTCACTAGAATATTACTGAATAATTTTGAATAAATTAGGTTTAAATAATTTTGATTATTTGATTTACTTATTGCTATGCATGAGTTCAAATCTAATCCGAAAAGGTGTTCTTTGAGTTCGATTAGTCTCACTCCTGTTGGAAACTTCGACAAGTGTATTTCATCAGTATTTTGTTATCATTGGAAGTTGCAACCTACTGTTATCAATTACTACAAAAAATGAATAATGATAGGAGTTCAAAAAATTATGTTATCACATTGCTGAATTTAATGCCATCATTATGCTGGAACCGTAACAAAATTGATACAAATCGTGCTATTTGAAACATTATCATCTCTGATCTGATATAAAAATTGTTCACTAGACAATATTGATCGTTCCTATTGATTAGGGCGCTGATATCGATTGAAAAATTTTGTGAGCATAATCTTTGATCACTATCACTAAAGTACTGCTTGATGGCAAAGGGTTCGAGAGCATGAATGAAACCGAACGTACAGCGCAATGTGGATCGGCGAAGATGTTCAAATAAAGGCAGTCTTCGGAAATTTTTTGTTGGCCATTCGATGAATTGTCTGTTTCGGTGATACATGCTGGTCGATACTGGGTAGCATTTAAAACACCTGACCAACTCGTCACTGGTTCTGGTTTCCGAAAACGATTCTTTCCAATTGGTGGTTTTGCAAATGGAATTCCCTAAAGTTACCATCGAATTTTGAAGACCTCTCCTTAACGACGAATTTCAGAAACTGAATAGTGCCACTTCTGAAGCTTAGTTCTTCACATTGCAAATCTTTCAGATGTCATTCTCGCGTAACAAAAATGTGGATTCATTCGAATATCCTTAATTAATTTAATTCGATTGTTCTCCTGGTAAACATACTCAATAAAGGTACTCAGTGGCTGCTCGAAAGTAAGCAACATACTTTGAAAATGTTAATTCGATTATGCTTTGGTCCACCCAAATATCCTCTGACTTTACCTTTTGATGTCTTAACGGTAACATCGATTGCTAGACACCAGATTGTGTATTGAGCTAGTATGAATGTTACCACGAATAAGAAGCTACTAGCAAACTTCATGATGACACAAACACCTGAAAGCGAATTGAACCGAAAAAATGAATTTGTTCGAAGGAAGGCTTGAAAAATGATGAGTTTGATTTCGCAATTAAGGGATGCCGTTGACACGAATGAACTCGGAAGGTATTATCAGAAGTCGAGAAAACTCATAAGTTCATCAAACCATCATTGCTTGCTCTATTTTGATAGATTCAAATTGATACATCGCAATAAATTGGAAGGGACAACCTCAAATAAAATAGTTGGGCAGGAGTCATCCACATAATTGATTCAGTGAGTGTATAAGAACGAAAAACGAAACGCTGCAATCAAGCACTGCTCGCTATCTAATCAAAATGATAGACGTTTATAGAGTCACATCAACTGATAAGAGCACGAAGACCAATCGCTATTTCAGCCAAAAAATATCATGATTTATCAATCCGGAGAATTATTTTGCAATCTGTTCATCGATCTGAATTGAGAATAAGAGAATAAGTTGAGTAAGACTGAGTGAGTTCGGGCTCTGAAAAAGTTGGGGCACAAAATTATCTTACTAGTTAGTCATAAGTTGGAATGCGTGAATTTTCAAAATCTCGCAATTGTTGTTGATCCACCAAGTAGATCAAATGAAATTTTATAAGAAAAGTGGAATTGTGTTCACAACACGGATATGATTAATCGAATTTATTAGATATATAGTGATAAATTAGAAAATTCAAATAGTAGAGCATGAGTTTTCAAAGACAGCAGGCGATCCTCATGCAAACAAACTGATTTGAATGCGCAGAAGTTTCACGTCCATGAGTTCATATGTATTCGGAACTCACAATGAACATTGACTAATGCAGATACAATGTATTGAAATGAGCGCCTCAACGGTACGATATACCTTCAAAAAATCGTCATTATAACTTAAAGTAAACAAAACCGTCCAGCAACATATATGATTTTCCGAGACTGGAGAATCCGATGTAAAGCNGGGGAAATTTCATGTGTATGCAAATACATTCCATGCGTAAAAACACCTTCCACACGTTTTTTTGATATGCAAATGTAACAATAATATGTATTATATTTCGAATCAGTGTTTACTGTTGTGCATTGTTTCGGTGGTTTATTGCAGTGCTACTCTGATGTGGTTCAACGAAATAATGTTCTACCGAATGTTCATTATAACAATGGTTCCTTGACATTATTTCCCCAGAAAAATTCGCGTCATTTCCAAAATTAATCACCTCCAGATTGTGACTGAACTTGGTTATAATTGACCAAAATTTTTAAAAGTCATCACTTCTGTGACTCTCAAACCCTTACATGCACACATTTCATTTTCTTACTGATCAATCCAGTTATTTCGACAATATATAATAATTCATTTCTTGAGAAATGAGCTGACAGGACGCCGAGGATATCAGATCAACCATTGAATTGCCTTTCAATAGTGCTGGATAATTTGCTGCTTGTCTATCGAGATGTGTTTTCTCAGATTATACCAAATAGTTGGATTTTGGCAGATCAGAATATTGATGAAGATTTTCCATTCCAAGCAGTAGTCGATGCTGACAGCGAGAAATTATTGTCATCCATTAACGATGACGACAGCGAAAATCAGGATCTCGATATCAGTTGGTTATTTTTTAATCACCACTTGAATTTTGAAACCATTGCTGGACGGCAACTGGTCAAAAAAAAATCATAAATACCGCTTGAGAAAAAACATTACGCTATTATCTGACTTCTTATGTATTCACTGCATTCATACGTGTTTCTTTGTTTTCTGTACGCAGCAGCATTACCGTTGGAAAAGTTTGGGCTTATATGATTGTCACCTAATCATATTATGAGGAAATCTTTGGTTGTGAAGTCTGGCCCAATTTGCTGTAGA